AAAAAAAAAAAAAAAAAAGGGCTCAAATGCCTAGTCTATTTAGACGACATCGTGATCTACGGTCCTAGTCTAGAAGAACATAACAAAAGACTTATCGCGGTATTAAAAAGATTACGAGATAATAACTTGAAATTACAGCCAGATAAATGCGAGTTTCTCAGAAAGGAGGTGATGTTCCTAGGGCACGTGATCTCGGAAAACGGAATATCGTCCGACCCTTCGAAACTAAAAGCAGTAAGAGAATTCCCGACCCCTCGCAAAGTCAAAGATGTACAATCATTCATCTAGCAGGATACTACCGAAAATATATTGAAGATTTTTCAAAAATAGCAAAACCACTTACGAAATTGATAAAAAAGGGAGAAAAATTTCAATGGACGACAGCCCAACAAAATGCGTTCGAACAATTAAAAATTAAATTAACACCAGCATCTGTGCTGAGATACCCCGACTTCAATCAGGAGGTTCTCATTACAACGGACGCCTCAGATTACGCTATCGGAGCCATCCTATCGCAAGATACGGTAGGTCAAGACCGGCCAGTGGCGTATGCCAGTCGTGTACTATCACGAGCAGAACAGAACTATAATACAACCGAAAAGGAACTACTAGCAATAGTATGGGCAGTAAAGCATTTCAGACCATACGTCTACGGAACTAAACCCGGGAAAAAATTTTCACATATGATCATATATAATCATATATGCTCATATACGAAAAATGTCCATATTGTATAAGACTATAATTGAGATGTACAGGGTGTCGGATTCGATTTGGACCACTCCAAAGATTATAGTAGATTGGGTCAAACTGAGAAGGAAAGTTATATACCATTTTACAAAATCCGTAATTATTATCGCGTAATTAAGAAAAACGTCTGAGCCAATAAGTGCACGGAGGAGCGGAAGGCCGGACTCGGCAGACATGCAAAATGGTGTATCTGTTGACATCTCTCAAGATCCGATAGCGAGAGGTGGAGTCACACATCGATCGATGAGAGACGGGGGCGAGCGGGGAGCGGTGAGCGGGCGAACGGCGCGCAGCGAGCGAACGCGCGACATATGACACCGCGCCGAAAAAGTTTTTCTGGTGGTAGGAGAATAATACACCATTTTGCATGGCCGAGTCCGGCCTTCAGTTCCTCCGTGCACTTATTGGCTCAGACGTTTTTCTTAATTACGCGATAATAATTACGGATTTTGTAAAATGATATATAACTTTTCTTCTCAGTTTGACCCAATCTACTATAATCTTTGCAGTGGTCCAAATCGAATCCGACACCCTGTATAATGATGTAATGATATAAATAATAAGAGTATAATTGTGTAGTGAAAAAGTATCAAGCGGCAAAACAGATTGGAAAAAGGCGACAGCTATCAAAGACGGCACCTGTAAAGAAACAACGCACACAAATAAACATAACACGAGAAAATCAAAACTAAAAAAAAATTTACCTCGGACGCCTTACTCCTCATCGGAAAATCCGGAGATAACGACTTCGCCGTCCGAGTCGTCGAGGTCCCCGTCCAGGAGGGCCTCCAAGAATTCGCGTGGAAGACCCCCCAATGACGAAACAAGTTCGTCGGGCGCCCCCACGACTTCGAAACGCCCCTCCTGGGCCGCGCCGTCATCGTCCTCGTCCTCGTCCTCGTCCCCGCTTATGTCCCACATTGGACCGACCTGCTCGTCGTCGCCAACGTTTTCCAATGGATTGTCAGGATCGGACAGGACCACCACGGGCCAACCAGCGACGTCGCACAGTGGTCCGGATCGCGATAAACTCGCGCATGAGACGAAAAAACTTGAAATGAAAATTTGTAGTATTATTATGATATTCGTGTAGAAAACACCATAGAAAACAGAAAACAGATATTTAAAATTCTTAAACCCCTGATCTTATGACTAACAAAGGTGTGAAATGCCAGTTTTGTTTGTCAATCGAGTGTCGTGATCTGCCCCCGCGCGTCATTTCGGAA